TGCACAGGGAGCCTTTACGCTGTACTTACACTGTACAGGGAGCCTTTACGCTGTACTTACACTGTACAGGGAGCCTTTACGCTGTACTTACACTGTACAGGGAGCCTTTACGCTGTACTTACACTGTACAGGGAGCCTTTACGCTGTACTACACTGTACAGGTGAGCCTTTACGCTGTACTTACACTGTTACAGTGATCCTTTACGCTGTACTTACACTGTACAGGGAGCCTTTACGCTGTACTTACACTGTACAGGGAGCCTTTACGCTGTACTACACTGTGCAGGTGAGCCTTTACACTGTATTAACACTGTACAGGTGAGCCTTTACACTGTATTAACACTGTACAGGTGAGCCTTTACACTGTATTAACACTGTGCAGGTGAGCGCCGCGCCCAGCAGCTGCTCCTGTCCGGGAGTAGACTCTGCCGGGTGGAATCAAACCACTGTCCCTCAGGTCATATTTCTAAGTGGATATTTCAGTTTTAGAGGAGATTTGTGGAAGAGAAATAATAGTTATGTCGAGAAAAAGTCATGCCTGTCTGTATTGGGTACATATGGATACCAAAGAAACACATTGCTATCTTTTATTTATGTTTTCTAAGGACTTAGAAATGTTCTTTAATTTTTGAAAAGATCTCATTTCAAAGGCAGAGGAGTAGAGAGAGGCAGAGAAACAGAGAAAGAAAGAGAGAGAAAGAGATCTTCCACCTGTTGGTTCATTCCCCAAATACCTGCAGCAGCCAAGGCTGGGCACAGCCACAGCCGGGAACCCAGCACTCCATCCACGTCTCCTGTGCCAGTGCCAGGGACCCACGTACTTGGGCCATCATCTGCTGCCTCCCGCGGTGCGCACTGGCAGGATGCCGGATCGGAAGCAGAGTGGCCGGGACTCAGTCCCCCAGGCACCTCACGGCGCCGCACGCCCACCCTGACTTAGAATTCCTCAAAGCAGGAAGCTGGTTTGCGAGTTCTCGGGTGTGGGGATGATACGTTATGAGGGACGGAAGGCTGGTGTGCACAACAAAGGAAGAGGTCTCTGCGGAGGGGGTGGGCAGGGGCAGCCCCTAGAGCTCAAGGTCAGGTTCGTGGGCGGAGCTATTCCGGCAGTGATGTTGGGCAGTGCCCTTGGGAAATTCTTAGGCTGTGAAAACCAGGCCGACTAAGAAGAAGTCTTGGCCGGCGCCGCGGCTCACTAGGCTAATCCTCCACCTAGCGGCACCGACACACCGGGTTCTAGTCCCGGTCGGGGCACCGGATTCTGTCCCGGTTGCCCCTCTTCCAGGCCAGCTCTCTGCTGTGGCCCGGGAGTGCAGTGGAGGATGGCCCAAGTGCTTGGGCCCTGCACCCCATGGGAGACCAGGAGAAGCACCTGGCTCCTGCCTTCAGATCAGTGCGGTGCACTGGCTGCAGTGCGCCAGCCGTGGCGGCCATTGGAGGGTGAGCCAACGGCAAAGGAAGACCTTTCTCTCTGTCTCTCTCTCACTGTCCACTCTGCCTGTAAAAAAAAAAAAAAAAGTCTTCCCTAGGGTGTCCCTGTACTTACATGTAACTGAGGAAACCGTGTATGTGTAGGCCAAGTTTGAAAAGGGACAGACAAGGACGGAAGCAGATTCACTGTTTGGGCAGCAGGGCCCCGATAAATGAGCCTCCCGACACGGACACGGTGGTATTTGCCTCTGCGGGGAGCGCTCACTGACAGCAGGCAAAGGCCAGGCTGGCCGGACCCGCCCCGCTGGGTGCGGGGGCGCAGCCTAACGGCCCCCCCCCCCCCCCCCCCGTTCCTCCACGGCCCCAGGGTTTTGCCGGATTTAGAACATTGGGGAACAATCCTTTCCTACTTTGTTATCTGGCTTTCAATGTCATGCGAGTTACAGAAAATGA